CCCTCCACACATACATGTCCTCTGCACATGCGCACGATAGCGGCACATCCTCCACACACATATAACAACAATGATATTGCTTTTTAATTCAAAAGCACTGGAAACACAGCAATGGGAGAGCACTTGTCTAGCACGCATAAGGCCCTGGGTTCAATTCCCACAACAAAGCAAACAAAACATTTTTTAAAAATCTGTCAACATTCCAAATGTTATAAACCAAGTTAAGAAGCCTAAAATGTCCCAAGAATTCATGTGGCCATTTCCTTGATATACAGTGTAGATGTCTTTCTTCATAATTTGCAGTGGCCTAGGTATACCATGAGATAGGTTTCCCTCTCTCCGCTCATCTTTCTATTCTCAGATGTGCCCACATTTATTGAGCACCTACTGTGTGTAGTTAGAGTGCTGGAAAAATGGTCCAAGAGGAAAGGGGCCACTAGCAAATCAGAGAGCAGGCGGAAAAGGGGAGCGTGCTTTCTCATCTACCTCGCACCCTGCCACCCACTGTCTCTGTACAAACCTTCATATCTGTAAGTGGAGCCTGTGGGTATAACCCTCCCTGAGACTGGCTATCACAGGTCCGTGACTACTGGCCACCTTGGGGAGGGGTGCGCATTTCTAGCCTCACGATGGGGGCCAATGGGAAAGTGAGAGCCTTCCACCCCTGAACTCCTTCCTCCCTGCGTCCCTCCCTACAGCCTGTCCCAGAACAGCATCACCGATGTGGGTGCCTGCAAGCTTGCGGAAGCCCTGCCAGCCCTAGCCAAGTCCCTCCTAAGGCTGAGGTGAGTGGGGTGCCCTGCTGAGTGGGCTGGGGAGATAGGGGGCAGGAAGATGGTCTCCTCTTGCAAGCTGCAAGGTCTTTGTGTCACGAGGTGGTGTTGTTATGCTCAGATCAACAAAGTTCCCCCAAACCAACAAGGAGACCAAATCCCATATGTAAAAGCAAAGGGCCTTTATTCTACACAAGTTTGCAAACTCTGACTCTCTGTGTGTCCAACGTATTGGAACAATCGCAGTACCCTGTGCTCAGTTAGAACAGGGTTTTTATAGTAGTAAAGGTGGGGGTGAGGGATTTCTGAGGTTCAGGACCCCTGATTGGCTGACATTTGTCTGGGGTGTCCTGGTGAGTGTGTGCTGGCAGGTGATCGTATCTGCAATGGTTGGAATTTAGGCATTTCCTTTGAATGGTCTGTTCTTGGATGGTGCCTGGGTAATCTCAGTTTGTGGTCCTTCCTGCAACCAGGTATTGCTTCAGGGTAAACTACTGAGACTCAGGCCTCTATTAAGCTTATCCTGGCTGGGTCCTACAGTGCATTGACCTAGAATGAGTTGAACAACACCAGAGCCTTGGGGCAAGTTGCTTACTTCTTCTAAGCCTTGATTTCCTCATCTGGAAAATAAGAATCATGTCAGTGGATCACATGCCATACCCCAGTCTGTCCCTAGTGAGCAGTGGATGGCTGTGCCTTAGCCTCTAGGCACAGCAGAGCGGACTGCAGCCCTGCAGGCTGGCATCTGAGAGGTCCATTACCACACTAGTCAGTGCTTACATTGCTACCTCCTGGTGGGTCTCAGTGTAGCAGTTCCAACTTTGTCAGCCAGTCTTGTGGTTCTAGGGGCTGAGAGGGAAGGGAGCTTGAGCCAGAGTCCCAGTCGCTGAGCTCAGCACTAGCAGCTCTCGGCTATTCCGCTGGGAAAGAATTCCTTCCCCCAAGTCATGTTCCAGGAAAGGCGACTTTCTGTAACACCCTTCCAACCGGGTCCTCTGTGCGGATGAACGGGTCGTGCGCTGTACAAGTCATAACATATGTACTTGGTGCCCACCTGACACCTAAAGTTGTGCTAAGTGCACAGTATTCCCTACCTTAAACCATGGGATGTCCTTGCCCTCGAGCTGCATACAGGCCAGAGCACAGACATAAAGAGGGGTGTTTAGGACAGTGTTAGGAAGGGAATTGCTATGTCCCAGGAGAGTACAATGGGAGAGTCACCAGTTTATTTCGGAGAGCAGGGGCACTGTGACGTGGTGAGACATGGCCCTGTGTGGGAAACTAGAGGTGAGCAGCTCTACAGGGCAGCAGGGACAATGTCCTCGAAGTAGGAAGAGGATGGATTCTCAGGGGCAGAAGGGCTCCTGAGGTGGCTGAATGGGAGGTGGGACGGGAGGTTGGGAGGTCAGGAAAGTCCAGAACACACAGGCAGGTGCTTGTGGGCCAGGCAGGCTTGCTCACTACCATTGTCACCATCACCAGATACCTAACAAAGACAGCTTTGGAAGGAATGGGTTGTTAGGGCTCACAGAGTGAGGTGCAGTCCATCATGGTGGGGAGCATGGGGGCCTGAGTGTGAGGCAGCTGCCTCTGTGGTCAAGAAGCAGAGAGCAATGAACTGTGGTGCTTAGCTCATTTCCCCCTTTTTAATTTTTAAAAGATATTTTTATTTTATGGGTACAGGTGTCATGTCTGTGTGTACACCCATGTGCCAAATGCATGCAGTACCTGCAGGGGCCAGAAGAGGGTATCAGATCCCCAGGGATCTATGGAAGTTACAGAGGACTTATGGCTACCTCATGCAAAATACATTCATCCCAACATCAAAGTCTCCAGAGTCTTAGCAGTTTCCAGTTTTTTTTTCTCCATGGCCAACACAGGTCACACCTTCTGTGGTGTCTCAGGTGGCCCTGGGTGGTTTCTGTATGTCACACTGTGAGACCCTGGCTAACATTTAGTTCATTACATAAACCAGCAAGAACCCACCCACTCTCCCTACAGAGACCCCGTCCTACCCATTTTACAATGAACAACAGCATGCATAGGGGAGTCCAGTGACCTGCCCAGATAGAAAGAGGCATGCCTTCGAACCTGGGAGGTTGTTCTCCTTGGAGTTTCCAAATGCTTTGGGCTGGGAAGCACCTTTACCCCTTCCCCTCTTCTCCTTGTTCATCTCTCCCCCACTTCTTTCCTCCTCTCTTTTCCTCTTTCTCTCTCCTCCCGCCCCCGTGTGTGTGTGTGTGTGTGTGGTGTGTTACTGGGGATGGAGCCTAGAGTTACTTCATGTATACCAGACAAACACGCTACACTGAGCTCTAACCCCAGCCTTCTTTAACCTTCTGTTTTCAGGGGCTGCAGTTAAGAGCACCAGCTGCTCTTGCAGAGAACCTGGATTCAATTTCTAGCTAACACATTTCTAGCTAACACATTTCTAGCTAACACATTTCTAGCTAACACATTTCTAGCTAACACATTTTGCTCACAACCGTCTGTAACTCCAGTCCCAGGGGTCCCTTGCCTTCATCTAGTCTCCTCAGACACTGCATACACATCCATACACAAAAATAACAAAGATAAAAAAGCAGAAAATTAAACCAACCTTTATATTTTGAGACAGGGTCTCATGTATCCCAGGCTGGCCTAAACCTATAATCTCTCTGCCTCAGTTTCCTATATAGCTAGAAGTATAGACCTGACCCATCAAGCCCAGTGTACAACTCTCTGTTTCTTGAACTCACCATAAAACTACAGATAACTGGCTGCAACTCTCTGGGCCTCAATTAGTCCATCTTAAAATGGGACAGTAGGGCCTGTCTGGGGATGTAGCCCAGTTGGCAGAGTGTTTGCGTAGCACGGATGAGGCCCTGGATTCATTCCATTCCCAGCACCGCAGAAGTTGGGTGTGATGGTACATGACTGTAGTCCTAGTACTCAGAAGGAGACAGGAGAATCAGAAGTTCAAAGTTATCTTTGACTACATATCAAGTTCCAGGATAGCTTGAGATACATGGTCCCTTGTCTATTAGGTAGGAAGGTAGGTAGGTAGGTAGGTAGGTAGATAGGTCAGTGGGTAGGTAAGTAGATAGGTAGGTAGGTAAGTTGGTAGGTAGGTAGATAGGTAAGTTGGTAGGTAGATAGATAGGTAGGTTGGTAGGTAGGTAGGTTGGTGGGTAGGTAGGTAGGTAGATAGGTAAGTTGGTAGGTAGGTAGGTAGGTCGGTGGGTAGGTAGGTAAATAGGTAGGTAGGTCAGTGGGTAGGTAGATAGGTAGGTAGATAGATAGGTAGATAGGTGGGTAGGTAGATAGGTAGGTAGGTAGATAGGTGAGTAGGTAGGTAGGTAGGTAGGTAGGTAGATGGGTGGGTAGGTAGATAGGTAGGTAGGTCGGTGGGTAGGTATATGGGTAGGTAGGTAGGTAGGTGGGTAGGTAGGTAGGTAGGTAGGTAGGTAGGTGGGAAGATAGGTGGGTAGGTAGATAGGTGGGTAGGTAGGTAGGTAGGTAGGTAGGTAGGTAGGTAGGTAGGTAGGTAGACAGGCAGACAAGCTGACAGATAAAATGGAGCCGTCATCTCAATTGAGTATGGCTCCCACCTGACTCTGAGCTAGCCCAGCACCCAAACCCTCTTCTTTCCTGTTTCTGGCAGCTTGTACAATAACTGCATCCGTGATGCAGGAGCCAAGAGCCTGGCACAAGTGCTTCCGGACATGGTCTCCCTGCGAGTGATGGAGTGAGTGGAGGGGTTCAGTGGTACCTGGGGAGGCAAGGGTCCCCTACCTGCATCATGGGAAGGAAGGGTTGGGATGTGAGTAGCCAGGCCTCAGGATGGGCCTCTCTCTTCAGTGTCCAGTTCAACAAGTTCACGGCTGCCGGTGCCCAGCAGCTGGCCTCCAGCCTTCAGAAGTGCCCTCAAGTGGAAACGCTGGCGTAAGTTGCGCTGTCCCTGGGGTTGGAGATCCTTGTGCGACTCTAGAATTCAAATCCCACCCCTGCTTAGCAGTCTTTGCGCTTGGGCTGGCAAGTGATTTGCCCTGCAGGCCTTAGCTTCTTCCTCTCTGGACAAGGATGTGACATCTGCAGAGAGACTTGAGACGGGTATGTTAGTCAGAAAATAGGAAGATGTCTTTGTGGGAGCCAGGGTCTCGTGCAGCCTGAGTTGGCCTGGAACTTGCTATGTAGCCAAGGATGACCCTCTTGCCTCCATCTCCCAAATGCTGAAATTACAGACATGTACTGCCACATCTAATCCCATGTGGCAAAGGGGATCAAAGTCAGGACTTGGTGTGTGTTAGGCAAGTGGTCCAACACCTGAGCCATGTCCCCAGCCCTAAACTCTTAGGACACCATTGCCACATAAAACACAATAAATATTTCATCAGGGTAAGCCATATGAAACTGCCTAATCCAGTCATCCTTAGAACATAAAAATACCAACTTCATATAGTTAGACCATTTTTTTTTACTTCTTTTTTAAGCAGAATTGCACTTGAACTCATGATCCCCCTGCCTCAGCCTTCTGAAGCTGGTACTACAGATGCATGTGCTGTGCCCAGCTTTAAACTTATTCTTATTAAGCCACTGTGATGTTTGACATCCAGCACCTTTTGCTCTTTGGGTGGCTTTGATCTGCACAGTTGTGTCCATCTTCTGGGATAGATAGTGGTCTCTCTAGATTCTTTTCTTGTTGTGGCCATAACACCTGGCAGAAACAATGAAAAGGAGGAAAGGTGCATTTGGGCTCACAGGCTCACACGGTGCCGTCCATGTCCATAGTGATGGGAAGGCATTGGTTGCAAGAGTATGTGCCTGCAGCTGCTCACACCCTGGAAAGGAGCAGCTAGCTGCCGGAACTTGCTTGGCTATTGCCTTCAAAGGTCCACCCACAATGACCTGCTTATGTCTTCAAACCAGTGTCCCAGTCTTGGGGGGAGGTGCTCACCACGTGAGCCTGTGGAGGACAGACCATACTAAAACACAATAGGATTCACTTTGCAGCTAAAGAGAATTTGGCAGAGCAGACCTGTTTAAGGCCACACAGCAAGTCAGGATTGAAAGGGGGCCTTTTAGCACCCTGTTCATCCATGCTGGTCTGCGCTCTGCCGGGGGTGGGGGGGGGAGGGTGGTTAAGGCTCTCTGCAGAGTGGGAGGTGGGGCTGTGGGTAGCTTGCCCTGGGGAGTCCTGGTCCTGAAGTTCCACGTCCCCTCTGCAGAATGTGGACACCTACTATCCCCTTTGGGGTTCAGGAACACTTGCAGCAGCTGGATTCCCGGATCAGCCTAAGATGACCCTGCTGTGCTCTGGACAAGGTAACTGGGTAGGACTCCAGTAGGAACATTTGGGTCAGTATCCTTGTGAAGTAGGACCAAAGGCATCAAGGAAGGTTGGTTGGGTTCATGTGTCATCCGGAGCTATCCTGTTTCCAAATTGGCAAGTGTCCTCCAGACTTTGGGGACTTGGGCCAAGGAACCTCCCTGAAGTTGAGCTTAAGGACTGGGGAAAGACAGGCTGAGCTGGTCACCTATAACCTCTATCTTGGGATTGGGTAGTCCTTTGAAATTTGCAAGTCTTTCTTCTTGATATTTCTCTTGGGTTCATCTTCATAGGAAATTAATACACTTCCTGCTACAATATTAAGACCATTGTCCACTCACCCTGTTTGTCCAGATTCCCCCCGACCTGTGTTACAGTTGTCCCCCACATTCTGACATCCCCTCCTCTGCTGTTAAGGCTCTTCCCCTGGAATCTCATTGACTCACCCGTGTCTCCTGATCCTCCACAGCATGAACTCGGGGACATTGACCACGCTGGACCTTGCACTGTGGACTCAGCGTTTCTGTGGGGAGTTGGCCTCTGGTCACCCTGCCCCAGCAGGCTCAGAGTTGCCTCTGCCTAGATGAGGGACGGACACAAGTCTTGGTCTTCTACAGGCCCCAAGAGCAGTTCCACGCTCTTACAGGGCCAGGCAGGAAGCCAGCCCCATTTGGTGGTTTTGAGCACTAGCAGACAGGCCTGGGGCTGCATTCAGTGGTTTCGCCCAGGAGGCCGAAGACCTTCTCTTTGACATTCCAGGTCAGAGTGCAGAACTGAAGCAGCCAAGCACCAGCCAGGCCAGGGCCAGCCTGGTGAGAAGGCACTTCTTCCCTGCTGCTCCCCTGATAGGGCCTGCTGGGCGTTCTGAGGACACTCAAGGTGGCCCTCGGCCTGCAGACTTCTAAATGTGACAGGGAGTTATGACAGCTCTTCCTAATTGTGGCACTGTTTCCACAAGCCTTCAGTCAAGGCCGAGTCAGGCCTGACTGAGACATTGGGCGTGAACCAAGAGCTAGGGAAATGGTAGACTACAGGACTGGAAGGCTGCAGCTGGGAGCTGCTGCGGCTGGGAGCTGCTGCGGCTGGGAGCTGCTGCGGCTGGGAGCTGCTCTGCCTTCTTCACACACCCACTACATTTCAAATGCACCAGCTACTCTCACTGCAGCTATGGAGCCTAGTTTATCCCACAAGTTCCATCTGGGGACACCTTCTGGACCGGTTATCTAATGCAAAAGAAACTGCCCAAACCACAATAACTTAAAACAACCCACACTTCTATTCTGCCCTGACCCCTGACCTTCAGGCAGGCCCAGAAGAGACAGCTCACCTGACCCCACCAACCCTCTGAGTCAATTGGGGCAGCTAGAAGCCACACTGGAATCATCTGAAGGCTCTTGCGTGTGTATCTGGCTTGTGACAGGGGTTGCTGGCTGGGAGCCCGGAATCCTTAATGGGACAGCTGGCTGGGGACTTCTCCAAGGGGTGCTGGCTTGCCTTCCAGGGAGAACAGAGGGGAGAAAGTGAGGAGACATGGGCCAGCAGAGAGCGTCTGTGCACTGCTCGCAGCAGCCACCGAGGCTGCATAGCACTGTCTAACCACATGTTGCAGTACAGAGCATGCACTGAGCCCATGCTCACACCGTGCAGTCCAGCTCTGTCCACATTCTGCATCTTCTGCAAGGATCTTTGTAGCTTCTAAGGCTCAGTGGAAAGTTATTGATTCCCGGGCCTAAGGGCTGAAGCAGTGAGCGTTGTACAAAGAGGGGTGCTCTCCTCTTCTGCTTGGCTGCACACTGGGAGCAGTTCTGGGCCCAGGCTGGCCAGCCTTAGCTGCAGCTATCCGAAGAGGGCAGGCAGCACCAGCACTACTGTTCTTGCTTCCTCTGAGGTCAGGCACCATCGATCCCTCCATCAGGACAGTGACAGCTTGCTTCCTTGCCTTGGCAGAAGAACCATCTGTATGGCTCCAGCATGCTAGCCCTGATGTCAGTAGGACTGGCCCACACCCCAGCAACTGGGCTAGAGGGCCTAGTGGGGTGGTTTGCATGGCTGCTTGGGGGTGATTCTTGGAGACATGTCCAGCTGCTGAGGGCATCTATGCTGAGGCTTCAGGCTCAGGGGTGGCACCTTGTGGCCACAAGGGACAACACTGAGGCACTCTCTAAGGCAGGTATCTGTTACACCTGCCACTCAGGTAGGCAGACCCTTACCTCTGCCTTTGGTCTATCTGGAGATACCAAAAGTGCCCCTCTTTACTCTGCCGAGGGCTGTCACTTCTTAACGGGTTCATTTGTGTAAGACACTGACTGTGCCAGGGACACAGTAAATGCTCAAATAACCTCACCAGTCCTGGATTCTGTGTGCTGGGCAGCATCTTAAGCCACCTGGCTCCTGAAGCGAGGTAGCCTAGAACTGTGTGACACCAACTCTTGGCTGAGCTGCCTGGTCTCACGCTCCACCTCGTCATATATGCATGCAAGTGTCTTCTGTGCCTTAGCCATCTGTCAAATAGGCAGAGGATCCTCCTCTCCTTCGCACTGGATTATGTGAAGACCCAATGTGGAAACAAAAATATTAATAAAACAGGTCAGCAAAATGGCTCAGGGTGTAAGCAAGTCCAGTGGTCTGAGCTTGGTCCCCGGATTCACACATGGAGAACCAACTCCCACAAGCTGTCTTCTGAAAGTTTCTGTCCACCATGCGTGGACTGAGTTGCAGGCTGTTGTCGGCCTCCATGTTGGTGCTGGGAACAGAACTCAGGTCCCCTGCAAAGGCAGCAAGCATTCTTAATCACTGGGTCATCTTTCCAGCCCATTAAAAAGATACATAAATAAATAAAAATTAAAAATAAAAATTTAAGAGTCGAAAACAATGCCTGGCACGGGGTTCTGCTGCCCTCTTTTGGACCCCACGAGCACTGCATGAACTTGGTGCCCAGACAGATACACAGGCAAAACACTCATACATATAAGACAAACAAATCTTGGAAGAAAAAAAAAGTCATGTGTGGTAGCACATACCTTTAATCCCAGCACTTGGAAAGCAGAGGTAGGAGGATCTCTGTGAGTTCAAGGCCGGTTTGGTCTACATTCCTTCCACCCTTTGTTTTATTCCTGCCTCTGTCTGGGATGTTCTCAGATCTCTGTATGTGACTTCCTACAGGATTCCATGGTTCCTCAGACAGATTCTCTGTCTCTCATCCCCCTGTACCGTACCCACTCTCAATCTCAACAGTCTCTTTTGTTGTCTGCCTGTCTAGGATGTGAGCTCTGGGGGAGCAGGGGCTTTCTTTGCTGTGATCACCCCTCTGCCCTCTACACCCAGTCAAGTGCATGGACATAGTAGGTGCTCAGTAAGTGTGGGATGGATGGCTAATCCTCAGTACCAGCTCACCCAGTCACTGTGTGGCTGTGCACTGAGGACACGTGGTGAACAAGATGCTCAAGGCTCCTGTGCTGGAAGCCCCCCATCTAAGCGGCCAGGTGCGTCTGGCCAGGCTGCGCCCTGCACAAGGCTCCTGACAGTGGATCCACGAGCACAGTACACCACAGGAGCCTAGCGCTGAACTGCACCGGTTTAGAGGAGAGCCTCCCGGTGGTTAGCATGGTGTCATCTCAAGTGGTGGGTAAGTTGTGGTTCCCGTTAGAAACTTGGCATTCATAGAGAAGGAGTTAACGTACCAGCTTGGCCTGTGACCCCTTTGAAGGATCTCTGTGGGTATGGGCCAGTGTGCTAGAATAGGTTGCCAGTCCCACTTGTGCTGTGAGAAGCCGTTCTGGGAGAACTGGCAGGCTGTTCATGCAGTACACTTTCAATCCAAGGCCCTCCTCAGTCCTCGACTTCCCTCCAGGCCTCTCTCCCAGGGAGTTTGTCTCTCTTCCTGTTGTATATGACTGTCCTTAGAGCTAAAAAACCGCCATCTTGGGGAATTCTGCTGCACCCTGTTGCGTGACAAATTATCCTGTCATGGAGAGGTGGGGAGTGTCGTCGCTGCCATCTGTTGTGTGCCATGCTGCCCTAAGTGCACATGGGTGCAGGGAGGGCTAAAGCCATACCCTAGAGAAGACTAGAGGAAAAGGATCCAATTGTTTGTGGGTTTCATTTGTGAACTTCTGATTCTTTTATCTCTGCCTCTGGATTGCTGGGATTGTATGCACATACCACTGTGCCTGTTTTTATGTGGTGCTGGGGTCCAGGGCTTGGTACAAGCCAGGTAAGTATTCTAGCAAGCGAATTCCATTCCTAACCTCTTTCCCATTCTTTAATTTTTTAAGGTAAGGTCTCACCGTGTAGCCTTGGCTGGCTTGGAACCCACTCTTTAGACCTGGTTAGACTGGAACTCAAAGATATCTACCTCCTCTGCTTCCTGAGTGCTGGGATTAAATGTGTGCACCACTATACCCAGTCCCTCCCTCGTTGTTCATGGAGATGTATCATATGTTCCATGTGTGGGACTCAGGCCCAAATTCTCCAGAGTTGCCTAGCTTTCCCCACCGTAACTCAGGCTTTCAGAAGGTGGGAGGAGGTGGCCTCTCTAAGAGTGAGTTCCCTAGTCCCTCCTGTATCTCCAGACTGGGTCATCTACCTTTTTTGCCAATCATAATGTCAGTCATAATGTACCCTTTCAAAATTTCAAAACAAAACAAACAAAGCAAGCAAGCAAGCAAACAAACAAACAAACAAAAAAACCAGCAATCAGACAAGGCAAAAGGTGTTGGAGTTGCTTACATTTTTTTAATGAAATAAGTCAGCCTCTAAGTATTGCTTTTACAGGTTTATGGAAATCAAGTATCTACACCACTCACACTTTCCACACCACTCACACTTCCAAAAATAGATTTCTAGCCAGAGACAGCCTTCTCCAGTGCGGCATCTCAGTTCTGTCAACCTGAAGAGGTTAAATCCCGCCCTAGACCCTGGCGCATCCTTCTTCAGAGTGACTCCCTGAGACTGTGATCAACAGTCTTGGGTCTGACGCTGGAGGGAGCAGCCTAAGTATGAATCTGTTTGCACCCCACTTCAGCTCTTGTGTCCTTTCCAGAGGTTAAGTGGGGGTGGCAGGTGCAGTCGGGGGTGAAGTGCAGAAAGGTGACCTCTGGCTGGGTTCCTGTAAACATCCATCACGAAGCGGGAGAATCAAGCCTGATTCAGGACGTCTGAGAACTGGGTGGTAGGTGAGGTCTTTGGAGCCCTTCTCCTTCCTGTAGGGCCTGGCAACTCTCCCATCTTGGCACTGGATCCCCACCTCTCCTGGCATACTCTTGGGCTGGGGCAGGAACCCGGCTGTTGGCACGAGCAGGCCTAATCAAGAAGACAAAGGACAGTCATCAACAGAGCCACTGCACCACTGGCCTGGGGACGCGTCTCTGCGGCACAGAAACCTGCTCTGATCCTTCAGGTCTAGGACTCTCCATGCTCAGGCTACACTGGTTTTTTCCTCTCTTTTTCCTGAGCAAGCATTCTACTAACTGAGTTGCTTTTATTCTAAGTTCTTATTAAAGAATTTGCTTCCCTTCTGAGATCCTGGGGAACCAGGGCAGTTTTCCAATGGAGAAGAGGGCTGTCCAGGTGATCAGAAGGGAGAGAGAGATGCTGGGGCAGGAGGAGGAGGCCAGCTATGAGGGAGGTCAAGCAGGGGCAGCTGAATAAGCTTCAGGGATTGGGCAGTGCCTCCCATCTCACCCAGAAAGCACTGTGCTTACAGGAAGGCTCACTCGATACAGCCTGCCAACTCTGTCCCCTCTTGGCTCCTCTTCCCATGACACAGCATCACTTGTAAGTTTTGGCCCTGTCTCCTCCAATCCCGAGTCCCATGTCTAGCTGTCGCCAGCATCTCTCCAACAGTGAGGTGCTCAGGTTCCCTGTACTTTCAGCCCCCTCAGATTCTTCCCTCTACAAACACCACTGGTCATCAGTAGGATGCTCACTGTATGTGAAGCACGCAGTGTGTACAGATGAATGGCATCAAGGGCTGTGTGGGGCTACCACTGGCATCACGTATTTACCAGTAGCCCTGCCGCCAACCAGTAGCACCTCCAGTCACCGTAGCTGCTAAAACTGTCGCCCCCTATTCCCAAGAGCCACTAAGCAGGTATAACCATTTCCACCAGGAACTGTGCCTCTCCCCATTTTATAGGTTACAAAACAGAGGCTCAGAGCATGGTGAGTTGCCTGCAGTTGCACAAGTAGGGCAGGCAGAGCTGGCATGCACTGGTAACAAATGGGGACAATCACAATCTGAGTGCCACCACACCCAGCGCTCTTGTCATGTGACTTACCTTCCTTCCACATACTTTCCCCAGCCCTGGGTGCCCTGGTCCTGCTTCCAGAGAACGCATGGCTCAGCTGTAAGAACAGGATCGCTAATGCCTTCCACAACAAGCTGCCTCCCACCAGGGACTGCCAGGAAGATAGTGGAGCACTCCCCCCCGTCCAGTGCCTGAGGTGACATGAGGCATGTCCTATGCCCATTCTGGTTTCTGAGCAGGACTGAGCCCCAGACTACAATGGTAGCCTGCTCAGTGCCCACCTGCTGCACCGTGCTGGCCTCAGTGCCCACCTGCTCCACCGAGCTGGCCTCACTTGGAGTTCCTATGATCTCCTCCCTAATAAGCACTTAGGTGCATGGCTATCTCCACCCTTGTTATCCACCCACGAGTTGGTGTTGTTACGTCTTTTGGGCATCAAGGCCCGGAGAGCATAAGATACTTGTTGAAAGATGCTCTGCTCAGAAGTCCTGAAATCGCCTAGGTGTACCCTGGTCCTGTGATTCCAGCACTAGGAAGCTAAGACCAGAGAATGGCAGGTTAGAGGCCAGCCTGGGCTACAGAGCAAGGACTGAGTGAGTTTGAGGCCAGGCTGGGTCATCTAGTATGAGCCTGTTTCCACAAACAAAACACATGCTGTATATTACCAGCCGCCATTCAGTTTTTACACACCAGTGTGTTACAGGCTGGGCCCCAAGCTAGAAGAAGGCGCCATGCATTGTGTTGAGTTGTGAGCAACTTCAGCTTGGGGTAGTCCTCCCAACGACGGGACAAGGCCATGGGCATGGACGGAGGTCCACACAGGGCTGTGCTGCACAGGAAGGGCACCCAAGGGGCTTAACTGTCTCCTCTTTCTGAACAAGGTGTGGGTGGAATCCATAGGCTGAAGTTTCTCCCTTCCTCTGCCAGACTCATCTACTAAAGGCCAGCTGAGGACACTGCCATGGCTCAGGAACCTTCCCTATTTCCCACTGACCCCCAGACACGGCCTGTATCCCTTTGGCCTCCTCCCAGCTGCCTACAGAACCTGTGGAGAGCAGGGCCACAGCTACAAAGACTTTCTGAGGCTCCTCTCCCATCACACCAGGGCCCACCTGGAGCTGCTCTTTCCGCTCTTCCCTCCGAGAACCCTGGGGGAGGCACGGTGCAGCTGAAAACCTCCATGTTTTTAGAAGCCTGAAGCACAGTCTTTTACTGAGATTCACCCTCCTCGATGCCTACTGCAGGGATGCCCAGCCAGGTGGGAGGAGTCAGGGTCACCCAGGAGCTGCTGGCCTGACTGAGCCTGCTGTCGGAGGAGCTCTGTCCCTGTACCACACCTTGCCATAGGTTTTAGCAGATACTGCTGACTTCTGGGACATCTGCTGAGTCTCTTAGTTATAGCCAATGATGACGGGTGCCTGTTCACACAAGTTCCTCTCCTTTCAAAGCATTTTTTTTTTTAAACGCTTAAAAGCCAATTTAAGGACTGGAGAGATGGTTCAGTGGTTAAGAGCACTTGCGTCTCTTGCAGGTTCTGCTCCCAAAACCCACATAGTACTTCACAACTACCTAACTTCAGTTCCAGAGAATCCAGTGCCTTCTTCTGACCTCATGGTCTCCCACACGACATGACTCAAATGGGAACATTCACATAATAAACAGATCATTTTAAAACTTGATTTAAAGAAAACAACTATATAAAGAATAATTCTGGGCCAGCAAGGTGGCTCAGCTGATAAAGGAACTTGCCACCAAGCCTGGCCTCCTGAGTCTAACCCCAGCCCCCACATGGTGGAAGGGAAAAACAACTTCCAGCAGTTTCCCTCTGGCCTATACAGCACGGCATGCACATGCCCACCCCTGCACACACAAATGCAGGTAAGTAGTGACAGCTGAGTTGGTAGGCAGAAAGACTAGGAATCAGCCTTCGTGGGGCTTACAGACAGCCTTTTAGAAAGCCCCTGTGCAGCCCTCTTTCTTCACACACCCAAAGGCTTTGCCGAAATCTGGGATCTCCGTGCTGGAGGCAGGCTGTAGCAGGAGGCCATCTGGTTCATGGCCAAGGGTGTGGTAGCAATCTGGTCACCTCCCTGGCAGCTGCAAGGACAGAAGGGGAGAGAAGCTTCCTGTCTCCACATGGGTCAGTCCCTGATGAGATCCAGCGTCTTGGGCCTGAATTCCAACCCCACATTGGCTGTGAGTGGTCATCACCATGGGCCATCTACAGTGTTGTCTACAGCTGTCCCCGACTCCCCTGCTTTGCCTGCCCAACAGCTCCTAAGGCTCGTCACACATCACCTGGACATTAGCTATGTAGGCAAGTTGAGCATCTCCTCTCTAGAATGCCTGGACCAGAGTGTTTTGGATTCTGTGATATTCGAGTACAATATTGAGATGCCGTGGGAAACTGATGCAGCCTAAAATGGCTTTCGTCCCCCTGCCATGGCACTAGTCTGAAGGTCGGAGAACAACTTTCATGAGCCCGGTCTCTCCTTCCACCATGTGTGTCCTGGGGCTCAAACTCCGGTCGTGAGCTTGGCAGCAAGTGCCTCTCCCTGCCGAGCCATCTCATGAGCCCCAAACAATGTAGTTTTTGCATCTCTCTTTTTTTTTTTCTTCCCAAGACAGAGTTTCACTGTGTAGCTTGGGCTGGACTAGCACTCTGATGCTTCTGCCTCAGTCTCCCCAGTGCTGAAATTAGAGGTAGTAGCCACTTGGCCTGGCACAATTCAAGAGTGTTTTTATTGTTGTTTTGATGTGGGGTCTCACTATACAGTCATTGGTTAGCCTCAAATTCACGATCCTCTTGCTTCATGCTCCTGTGTTCTGGAATTAATGGCATGTGCCACCACAACTAGAAGTCTCCAGGGAAATGTTTACATCATAACTATGGGGAAGAAAACAGTACTTGTCATAGCAAAGGTAATGTAGTAATGCTAAAGAGACAGAGAGGAAGTCACTATCTGCCTCTGTGCCTGAAGCCTCTGCTCCAGGAAGGGAAAAGCAGGAAGGTAAGGGTACCATGAGCCTGACTCCTCTGGTACCTTAAAGGGATTCCTCCAAGCCAGCACCTCATTTCAGAAACTCTGGGCAAGTGGGAATGGCTTGAGGGCCAACGCGCTACCTCATAGCTGGGCATCTAAGGCGAGTCACTAAACCTCCCAAGCCTCAGTTTCCCTCACTATCTAATGAGCCCTTCCCAGACAACATCACAAGGTGACGCTCAGGGGAAGCTATGAAGATGTGGGAGGGGCACCCAGTTCTAACCTCCCAGCCAGGAGGCCTGGGAAGGCCTTCCCTTTGGGACCGGGGATGACAGCGGCAAGGCTACCAGCATCAGCTGACACTCGGTGGGTACCAAGCCTCATCACCTCAGGCTGTTTCACAGGTAATCCACAACGATGCTCTCCACTGGTTACTGGTGCCAGAAGAGCAAGGAATCCCAGGAAAGAGGGAAGGTTTCTGAGGTTAGGTTAACACCCCACATAGTGCTGCATACAACTATACATCAGTCACCAATCCACTGAATCACTGCAAGCCCCCAAGCAGGTTACATTATTCCCATTTCACAGAGAAGGAAACTGAGGCATGGGGGAGGTGATGTCACTTGTCTAAGATGTTGGGTGAACTGGGACTAAAACCCCAAATGTGATTGCAAAAGCTCTAGAGAACAATTTTAGGGGGTCACATGAGCTGGCTGGAACCACCACACCTCTACAGCAAGCACACATTGCTCTGCAGCTCTTGGTAAGGCCGTGCTGCATCACAGGAAGAGTTCCAGTCTGGTGCCAGGAACCTTTATCTGGTAGTAGTACTTCAACACATAAAGCCGGCCCCAGCCTCTGCCATTGCTGGCTTTCCTACTCGACCAGAAGTTGAAAAGACTCTGGCACTTATTTTTACTATGTCGGGTGAGAGTGGCCTCCTCACAGTGACAGCATTCTTTTAAAAACAGATCCACAGAGTCTGGGGGTGCACCTCTGCAATAGGGTGTGTAAGGCACTGGGCTGGGTCAGCAGAAACATCTAAAAATAAGTAAAATTAAGTCCAGAGGGCCTGGGGCTGTAGTTCAGTTGGTAGCGTGCTTTCCACAGAACTGGACTCCATCCCAGTGCCACATAAACCGGGCACTGTGGTGCACATCTATAGACCCAGGACTAAAATCCCAGCACTTGGGAGGTAGAGGCAGCAAGATAAGAAGTCCAAGGACATCCTTGGCTAAATAGTGAGTAGAAAGCCAGCCTGAACTACCTGTCTCAAACAAAAACAAATAAAAAGTTCACATAAAAGAGACTTAAAAAACAAAACAAATGAAGCACTAAAACTGGTATTATTAAGTAAACTTAAACTATAAAAGGAAAAGCAGTAACTCAACAGTGGAAGGCCCGGATGACATCACCAGGATTAGCAGGACCGGCAGCAATGGGACAGGGATGTGAGCCTCTGAAAGCACTGCACTGAGGACACACTCTTCTGTCGCCTTCTGCTAAGACCACACCACTTGAATGGCATCCAGAGTGCAGACACCTGACAACCCCAGGCAGAAACAGCCCACAAACGCCAGGCTGGCCTCTTGAAAAGTGCCAGTGTCACCAAGATAGAGACAGACAGAGAGGCCAGTCCAGAATAAAGAAAGCAGTAGCCTCAGACCCCACATGTTTATTGTTAAAGGACATCCCTGGGAAAGATAATAATATGTGAATAAAGCCATGGATCAGCGTGGTCCGAGGGTTGGATCCCTGATTCAGTTTCTTTCCAGCCAGGCGTGGTGATACCCACCTGGAATCCCAGTGCTCAGGAGGTAGAGCAGGGGTTCAGGAGTCGCAGTCAGTCTTGGTTACAGAAGCAGCCCATCTCAAAAACAACATTTTGCTGGTTTTGACATTGGTGCTACAGATACCAAGTATATCCTTGTTTAAGGAAGTTATAGAGCAAAATATCCAGGACCAAAGGAACATCATGTCCGCAGGCACTCTCAAATGTTTCGGAGATGACTGTGCACATGTGTGTGTGTTCATGTGCATGCATGTGTATTCACAGAAGAACGTGAGCTTGCATCGAGCACATGGACAGGATGTCGGCTGGCAGGCTCTGGTGAGGGGAGCACAGGAGTTCTTTAGACTTTTCTGGAAACTCTGCTGTAAGGGTGGAACTTTTAAATTTTTCTAAAAGGTTTTTGGATGAATTCAGGGAAAAGGTACAAGCATGTAGAAGAGATGGGCCTGGAGAGGCTGCAGCTGGCACTGAAGGGGAGCATGGAAGACAAGTCCTCACGGAGGCTCTTCTGTTCCCCGGTGGCCACTGTGCAGGAGACACTGCTGTCTTATTTGGCCTTGTTCTCTGGGACTCCCACTTTCTGGTCTTCAGTTTCTTTATTTGCAAGGCTGGATTAAGTCAGCAGCCATGAGGCAGGCAAGATCCTGAGTTTGAGGTTAGCTGGAGCTACCAAGTGAGACCCTGTCTCAAAAAATAAAATAAAAGAAAGGAAGAAAGAAAGAAAGGAAGGAAGGAAGGAAGAAAGAAAGGAAAAGAAAAGAAAAAGCTGTCTCTTTCAATGTGGTATTCGTTTCCCAAATGCAGCTGGCGCTCTCTGAAGGTCCAGGATGAAGGCAGCAGTAATATCTGAAAGAAGTCCACCTGGTTTTCATCGAGCTAAACAGATCCCAAGGCTGGGAAGAGGGTGTAATGTAGGCTTTGCTTTTCTGGCTGGAATCTCCAGCCTATGTTAACTCAGAGCCAAGGGCATAGGGCCATTGGATTCACACCGTATTCTCAGCTGGCCTGGAGTCCTTTTATTACCGAAGGGATGGCCAGAACTGTTGTACAACTGTGACCAGGGAGCCCTCTAGGTGTCTCGCAGCAGATCAGGGTATGCACCTGCTGACCACACTTCTAGATTCTCTTGTCTACACAACAGCCTTAGCCTCCTTCCTGTTGGCCCTCACCCTGACCGAGAACAGTAGGCTACCTGTGGGTTTCCCACAGGTGGAATCTGCGTATATGGGTGACCCCATGGGAGTGACCGGGCATCCTAATTGGACAATGGCATGCTCAGCTGGGCAATCTGCTGATAGCACAGGCTACAGCCTGGCAGGGAAGGCCAAGAAAGCAGACAGTCAGATCAAGGAGTCAGTCACCCCTATTCCACAGTCACACTTGACAACAACCCCATTCCTGCTTCCATTGCATCTCAGGTGTCATGGAAGATCCAGTAGACAGCTACCACCTGTTAGGACTCTGAAGTCCTACCAGGCTAAGCTGCCTCTCTAACCTAACAGACAAGCTGGCAGCACCACCCCCCTCCACACACACACCTAAGGCTCCAAGGCATGCACCCCATCTTCTCCCCCAGTAAGCAAGGAGCTCCATCCCCTACTCCCCTGGGCCACACTGAACACTCTAGAAAATGCTCTCCAGAACTTCAGAACCAGTGCCCTGGGGACTATGGGCATGAGGAAAAGTTTCTAGGGCTCAGAAAGGCAGGGAGAGAGAGGTAGCTCTGTGTGTGTGTGTGTGTGTGTGTGTGTGTGTGTGTGTGTTCCCTGAGCTCATGCAGCTGGTACTTTTGCTAGCTGGTAATTTGGCCATAAATATTAATGCACAAGGCAGGTGAAGGCAGTTAGCTCCAGATCGCGCCTGTCAGTAACAGAGGCTGTACATGGGTCAGTTACCATGCGAGGGGTCTAACTCTTCGTCCTCTCAACAAGGTGGATTTTTATTACCCCTATTTCATAGAAGAGGCCACTAACGTGTGGAGTTAAACGGCATTCTCAAACTGCGGCTAAGCCTGCAACTTAAGTCTAGAAAATCTGAATTTGTAGCTAGGCCTGCAACTTAAGTCTAGAAAATCTGAATTTGTAGCTAGGCCTGCAACTTAAGTCTAGAAAATCTGAATTTGTAGCTAGGCCTGCAACTTAAGTCTAGAAAATCTGAATTTAGAGTTACTACTCTTAACCCTGACTCGACATTGACTCCTCAAATAAGTGCTCAATAAAGGTATAAGAAGCTGAATTACAAGACAAGAAGGACCCAGTGAGGAAAAGTGGGCGTCCTTCTTCATGCTGACACTGCCTGGTATGTCCTGTGTCCATGCCTTTTGTTAGAGTTTCCTGCCCTGGCTTGTTAGAACATGTTATGTGAGCAGGACTGGGAAAAAGCATGCCTGGTCCCGTGGGCTCTTCTGCTGATAGAAGGGGCCAGGAGTGAAGCTGGGTCACTGTCCTCTAGGCTGCTACCAGTCACCCCTCCAGCATCCTTTGGGTCTGGCCTTTCCGGCCTGGGACCAAGGTCTTCTAGCTTGCACTGGGGAACACACAGCATAGTGTGTGGGTTTCATTAGTCTCCAGCCCTGGATGTGGGATCCTCTATATTCCTTATGCTCCCTACCCCCAGGGTCAGGCAAGAAAGTCCCAAAGGAATGTTTCTTGGTGTTTCTGCTCAAACAGCATTTGCTGAAAAATATGTCAAAGCATTTGGGCTTTGGATTTCAGCTTAGAATATGCCAATGTTTTCATTTGGAAGCAGCAGTGTTTCTGTTGATATAGTAAGAAGATAAAATAAGACATTTTTTTTTCACCAAGTTCGACTGTCTGATAGTCTACTTGGCTCAGGGACAGAGGTGCAGCTTAGGATCACGGGCATAGCCTAGACTCTCTGAGGAAAAGAAGGACCAATGCTTGTTGAATGACACACAGAGGAGCTAGAGCCAGGAAGGGCACCTGGTCTCTACTCCGGTTCTGAATGGATCCTGGAGATCCCACCTCTGTTAGGTGTTCCCAGTGCATGCTTGTTTGTTCATCTTCACTAACCTCATCCTGTCCAATCCCCCGTCCCCGCTGCACAGACAGCTAACAGCCTCCTCACTGGCTTCATCCTGTCCAATCCCCTGTCCCCGCTGCACAGACAGCTAACAGCCTCCTCA